CTAAATGCACTTCAATACAAGATCAGGTTTAAATATATTAAGTTGAACTTTAACGTGCAGCTGTCAGTTGGAAATAAATCAGTAAAATATTATATATGAACATGTTTAACAGCTTTCTACCAGCGTTCCTGTCTTCACCATTTGCAGTAGCGGCGCTTTTTACCGTCATAATTTTTTATATTCCTCATTGTTATCCATTAAAATTCAATTCAATTTTATTTGTATAGCGTATATTTACAACAAGTCATCTCATAGCGCTTAACAAAGGCAGAAACACCCAACAATCCAAAACATTTGGATTCCCTACAAGCCTCAACAGTCTGCAACAGTGGAAAGGAACCGAAAAAAAAACCTCCGACAGAACCAGGCTCAGGGAGGGACGGCCATCTGCCTCGACCGGTTGGGTGGATGTGGGATCAATTATACAATTTAGTGTACAGTTAAACAAGTTATTATTGTCTAACCTGTTGACTGAAGCAGATGCTCACCATCGTTTCATTTAGTGCAGAAGAGTCCCGTGATGCTTTAAACGCCTCCTTTTAGTCTGAAGCAGAAAGCCTGAGTTGACAAAGAAAGTTTATTCCCACCTTCGTGATACCTGTGATCTCTGGTTTTAGTTTTTGTCGAGCCGGCTTACACAAAGGAAGCCTGGCTGTGTGAAACTTGCTTCGTACTGCAGCCGTGTGGTCTGGGGCTCCAGGCTGATCAGATGAGATGACCAGGAGCTGTGGGTCTGGAGCGACGACTCAAGCCCACCACGACTACACAAAGGCCACAACAGCCAGACGGCACACAAGCGCCGGGGGCCATAACAGTAGCTCATATGCAAATCAATATCTGTGGAATGTGCTGGAAAAACCAGTCAGATCCACAGACGTTTACCGTCACAGCCGCCAGGATTTAAAGGTTCAGAGGTCCTGTTTTATCGGCACGAGGAGCTTCACAAGATATTGGCAGCTGGTTTTGTTGTTAAACTCTTTATCAAGCATTTAAATGCCGTTTCCACACCTCTGCATCTTTACGTTTACTGCAGCTGAGTCAGTTTCCTCTTATTCTGCTGCGTCAACGCCACAGATCGTCCCGCTCACTTTAAAACGGCCCGGGACTGACTGAACTCGCGTAACTGCAGGTCAAAGTTTAACAAAGACGAACTTTGCTCTGCAGAAGCTGGAAACATTCCAGAATTAATTAGGGGCCTCAATTAAGCGAGTGAATATTCACAGAAGCCGGTGGAAGCGAGACCGAGCTCTGAGCTTCAATCCCGACTGTCGGTCCGGCTCAAGACGACGAGACTCTCAGAGTGAATTTTTGCTGACTTTAACAAGCAAGAAGCGTTTACGATGTTTATCAGGCAATAAATGTGTTGATCCATAAACGGTTAAAGGACGGAAGCAAAATTATATCACACAGGAATTATTTAACTTTTAGATGCAGATGGTGCAGCGTCAGTACAAGATGGAGGAGGAGGATTGTGAAATAGTTCCTGCTCTTGATTCAGGTGCATGAAGCCAAAAAGTTAACTAAACAGGTTGATAAAAAAAGTGAAGGAGTCTCTTAATGGACAAAAAGAGTCGAGTTAATCCATGTGCACAAGTTTAATTATTATCCCGTTTAAAAACAACATATGTTGAGCAAACTGTTGCACAATTAAAAGAATTTTAAAAATCACGGTAAAGCAAATCTCAGAACCAAACCGTTAAAGTGTGTTTTCCATCAGCTGTTCTACAAAGACCCGGAGGCTCTACGGAGACACAAAAGACCTCCTTTGTGTCTGTCGGCTCGACAAAACCTGAAACTCCAGCCGGAGACGATGCTTATCAGGACGTACCAACCTGCTTTACTTCACCAGACTCACCGAAAATAGGTCATCTGACGCAACGCTCGACTCTTCTTCTGTACAAACTAGACCAGCAGTGTGCCGCCTACTGTAATCATGTCATCATATAAAATCTAAAGAATTTACACTTTTATCAGCGTAAAAGGCGACACTGGTAGAAAACTGTCAGATGTGTAAGTTAATATATTTGTTTTCTTACTCTCAGAGTCGCTGCTTGTTATTTTAATAAAATCTCTGAAATCAGTCCTAAAGCGTCCTGGCAGCCGATGGAAAGGAGCTGAAACTGGCGTGATGTGCTCGTGTTTCCTCTTCCTGGTTAGAAGCCTGGCAGCAGAGTTCTGCACCGTCTGTAGTCTGTCCAGGGATCTCTGATTAAGACAAAGGCTGCTGCATTAACCCAGCCTTTAGTTTTGGTCAAAAAGAGTTAAGATGAGCTGTTATGAATCCCACAGCAAGGAAGGGACGGTGTAAATGTTTAGGGAACATCAGGAGAACATAAAAATAAACCAGAAACATACTGAAGTATTGTACGGATTCTTCCACATTTGGAATGTAAAGCAGTGACATTACATCGACTCTTTAATGAGTGGAAACGCTGATATGTGCAACGATAGGAGAACGTTCTCGACAGCAACATTCCCAAAACATCCCCAGAATATTTCAGACAAAACGTTTAATATGTGAAATTACAGAAACGTTTAATAAAAACACATTCAGTTTTCCGAGGCCTTGATAACATCTAGGAAATATTTTGTAATGTTGGTTTTCAGAACGTTCTTCTTTTGTTATCATGAAACGTAATCTGACAACGTCCTCCAAACATCCTCTGAATGTTAAAACGTTCTGTCTTTGTTCACTTTTAACCTCCACTGGAAGAATATTTGAAATGATAAATATCCTTAAAATGTTCTTTGAGCTTCAGAGTAAAATGTTTTCTTTAAAACGTTACTAGAACTTGTAGGTTTGTTGGACAACGTTGGGGGAACGTTCCCCGCATGCTGGGCAAATTTAGCCAAAATGTGCTGAAAAAATTCTGCAAATGTGAGAAAAAAAGGGAGTTCCACATGAAATAAAGAAATGTTTCACACGCGTTACATCAACAGTTTTTCATTCTAACTTTGACAATAAATCTTTTCACATCCTTGAATCTTTCACACAGGTTTTTATCTCCAGAGTTGGATTTACAGCTGCAGCTTTATTCTAACTGTGACTTTCGTCCTCTGTTCAGCTCCTCTGGGTTCTGCTGGCAGCCACCGTCATCGGCCTGCTGCTGCAGCGGCTGGCGGCCCGGCTGGGCGTCGTCACCGGGATGCATCTGGCCGAAGTCTGCAACCGGCAGTACCACACGGTGAGACGCCTGCTGCTCAGGACCTCACCTGTTTGGTCTGCTCTGTGCTGCACTGATTCTCCTGCAGGGGTTTCTCAGCTGCAGCGAAACTTAAACCAGAACCAGTTTCAGTTCACAGAAACTGATGATGAAGACATTAAATCAAACAAATGGCAGCTACAGAACATTTAAGCATAAATCATTCTTGTGTTGCTTCCTGAATACTTGCAGAGGAAAACCTTTAAATCATGTGACCGCTCGAGCTCTTCTGCTGCTGTCGGACACTTTTTAATATTTTGCATCCGATGTGAGAAACATAAGAGCTGCATGGATGCACCTGTTAACTTTCCTCTTTCATGGCTTTAGAGGACCTGATGGGACGGTTAGAGACGGTTTCTGATTGATCAATTTGATGTAAAGCTGAGAGCAAGTCACAGGAAACAGTGTTTTTGCTCAATAATAAACAAAATAAGGAAGAAAGGAGCTTTAACAGCTGCAGCTAGCTTCTGTTCAGCATCTCCCAAATCGGATTTACACATAAACGACACTAAACACGAGCAAAGAGGAAACATTAAAGGAATTTAAACCTATGGAAACTATACATGAGCCTCACCCTACCTGTGTTACTGTACAGGTATGTGAGCACACTGTGTTCCCAATCACATGTCTGTAGCGTGTTTTCTTTCAGTACGTTCTGCGTCGACTCTCACAAAGCGCCCACTGCTGCACGTCTTAGAAACAAACTGGACTTTGTTGTGCATTAAGCTTCGACCATCCTGCTTATCTGGCTTAAACGGATGTGAACAATCAAACCATAAACCTGAACCCAATCAGATATTAAGGCTGCAGGAGATGCAGAAAATTAATGGGAAGCGTTTTGTTGAGGTTCAGTTTAGAAGAAAATGTGACAGCTGAGCGACGAGCAGCTCAAAAACTGATCTAAAACGACTCTTTTCTCCGGCAGCTGCTGCAGCAGGAGATCGATAAAACGTCATTAGCACTGTGGAGGATTTAGCTTCTGTGCAGCAGAATAAAACTTTAAACATTTGGAGGACAGTGGAAAAATATAAAAACGCATTCTGCTGCTTTTTTTAGCGCGTTAGCTTCAAATCACACACTGCAGGTCAAATCATTTTAATCAGGTTTCCTTCTATCTCAGAAGATTCAACATTACGTTATACTGTTGGTAGTTTTTTTAAGTTCTAAAGTCTGTGGAAAATGGAAACTTTCTCAATGCATCAAATAATCTGGATGTTTTTGTAATTTCATCCTGGAGAAAAAAAAAACAAGACCTGAGAAGCCAATCTGGGGGTTTAATATCTCCAGAAACATAATTTGTGCTCCTGCCAGTGGGTCCACATCACCATCATGTCAAACAACTGTCCTCTGTGTCTCGTGGTCTGTCCAGGTTCCTCGTATCATCCTGTGGCTGATGGTTGAACTGGCCATCATCGGCTCAGACATGCAGGAAGTCATCGGCTGTGCCATCGCCTTCAGCCTGCTCTCCTCTGGCAGGTGACGTAGCGCAAACACCAGCTCAACACCTGCAGAATCATCGTTTAAAGTGTTTCATAGTTTGTGTGCTCCGCCTCAGGATCCCTCTGTGGGGAGGCGTCCTCATCACCATCGTCGACACATTCGTCTTCCTCTTCCTGGACAAGTACGGTAGGTTCTGTTGGATCTCGACACGCTGCAGCCGCATGTCAAAAACAAATCAAACCCGCTCGGGTCTTTGTCTGCAGGGTTGAGGAAGCTGGAGGCGTTTTTTGGTTTGCTCATCTCCATCATGGCCATTACATTTGGATATGAGGTACAGACATGGTTCCTTTCTGTCTCTCGCCTTGTTTTAACATCTTGAAACTCTCTCACATCGCTTTGTTTTGACATTTGCCACCTTTAAACATGTCCATAGTTGTAATGTATGAAATAGATGCATATTTAAAACAGTATCCGGGAAATTTTAGCTTCATTTAGCTCAAAAAAACTAAAAAAGTTGCTGGTCGATCCACTTTAGCACATTATTCTCAATGCCTTTTACAAATACTGCTATACATATCCATAGTTTATACAAAAATAAAAAGTATGAATGTTTAATGTAGTGTCTCTGAATTTTAGATTAATATGTCAAATGCATTTTTGTAGAAACTGCAGGTCGACCCACTTGTAGGACGATTTTAACAGTTAAAGAAAATGTGCTAAAAGTGGGTCGACTGGCAGTTTAAAAAAATATAAAAATCTCTGAAAGTATTTGATATATCGACTTAAAAGTTCACAAATACCTGTATACATGTCCATAGTTTATTCTAGCAAACCTTCAGGCAACTCAGAGATTGTTTAGCAGAATATAACAACAATAATAATAATAATAATAATAATAATAATAATACATTTTATTTATTTATAAAGCACTTTTCTGAATGCTCAAAGACACAGAAAGCAAAAATCATTGAGTGCATTTAAAAACAATCACACATTAAAAGCATTTTTGTGGAGGTGAGTGTTGGTGAGTGATGTGAAGGTGGATCAGTTCAGGCAGATGTTTGGTGGTCAGGAGTTCCAGAGGATGGGGGTGGCGACAGAGGAAGCTCTGCCTCCCCAGGTTTGGTGCTTGGTGTCAGGTAGGGTGGAGAAGAGGTGGGCATCAGAAGATCGGAGGTTGCGGAGGGCTTTGTGGGTGACGAGGAAGAGGATTTTACAATGGATTCGCTCCCTAATGGGGAGTCAGTGTAGGTTTTGGAGGATGGGGTGATGTGGTCGTGGGTGTGGGTGAGCAGGCGGGCGGCAGAGTTCTGGATATGTTGTAGTTTGTTGAGCTGTTTGGCGGGAAGGCCGTAGAAGATCCTATTGCAGTAATCGAGTCTGGAAGTGATAAAAGTATGGATCAGGGTTTCAGCGGTGGAGAAGGTGAGAGATGGGAGAGGTGGAAGAATGCAGGTTTTGGTGATGTGAGGTTCCAGATGATTCCGAGGTTGTGGACACGTGAGGACGGGTCGAGGGAAGTGCTGTCAGCCGTGAGGTTGAAACTGTTGGTAGTTGAGGTGAGGGGGTTTGGGGCCGACGATGAAGAGGTTGGCTTCCTCGCAGTTGAGTTGGAGGAAGTTAATGTTCATCCAGGATTTGATTTCAGTCGGGCAGTTGGTCAGGGTGGAGATGGTCGGGTCTAAAGATGGAATAATTTCAGATGGACCTTGAAACAACTGATAACATGTTATAATTAATTAAAGTCCAGCCAGAGCTGTATTTGGGAATAAACTGGTCAGACAACGACGGCGCTGCAGGATGAGTTGCACAAAAATTAGTTGAATTTTAAACAAAAATTTCTCAATTTTTGTTCATCTGCATCACTGAGGATTTTTCTTTTAAACACCGCAAATGTTTGCAGAAAATTTAAATGCAGTCCCTCCAGTAGCTGTTTTAACGTCGATCAGCTGATACTCCTGACGACCTCTGAGCAGCTGAAGGTCATCGAGCGACTTTATCTTCCTCCTAGTTCACATAAATGTGTACCGGTGCTTCAGAGTTAATGCACTTCTCCTCCCTGCAGTATGTGATGGTGGGTCCGGACCAGGCCCAGCTGCTGAAGGGGATGTTTGTTCCGTACTGCGAAGGCTGCGGTCCGGTCCAGCTGACTCAGGCCGTCGGCATCGTGGGCGCCGTCATCATGCCTCACAACATCTACCTGCACTCTGCTCTCGTCAAGGTCGGGCTCTGATCAAACTTTTTGCTCAGCTTTGTTAAAACCAGCTCATCAGTAAAATTTGTTCCCTCCAGTCTCGAGAAGTGGACCGGTCCAACAAGAAGGAGGTGAGAGAGGCCAACAAGTATTTCTTCGTGGAGTCGACCATCGCGCTGTTCGTCTCGTTCCTCATCAACGTGTTCGTGGTGGCCGTTTTCGCCGAAGCGTTTTACCAGCGAACCAACGCGGAGGTGGTCAGTATCTCTGCAGCTGCTCCCGTAACCAGAGATTCTTCTGGAAGTTTAACGTGAATTTTCTTTCTGGATTTCAGCACAGCGTCTGCAACGAGTCAGGAAGTCCTCATTCAAACATGTTTCCTGTGAACAATGAAACTCTGGAGGTGGACATCTACAAAGGGGTTCGTCTTAAACGTTTTAAAATGTTTGTTTTTTTGTTATTGCACAGAAAGTACGTCCAAAACTGTGCAGGTCCAGCTGCAGCTACGTTGTTGACAGATAGATAAAACAGATGAAGTTATAAAATAAGTCCAAACAATCCAAGTAAAGATGCTTTTTATATCCACAACACTTATTTAAACTCTGTCCAACGTCACGGAAATGATCCAGAGTTGAGTCACGTCTCAATAATCGCATTATTTCTGAATATTTCTTTTATAATCAACTAAAAACAAATACTTTAGAAGGATTAGTATGTTTGTGTGTATTCTGAGCTGTTTTTAGTTAAAAAAATTACATATTTTGTTAATTTTTGACATTTCTGAAAAGGTTTAAACGCGACTGGTGCAGAAAATGATTAACGTGAACACAAGATAAGATAAACTTTATTGATCCGTCACCGGGAAACGTTACAGAGTGATTGCAGGTCGTTTATTTTTATGGCCTGTCAACTCTTTGTGCTTTTTCTGTGGAAGCACCACGTGATGGTTTCTGGTGGACGTGATGCAGCCGGACACGTTGTCTTAACTTGATTTTATAACAACAATTAAAATGTCATCATCAGCAACAAGATTAATAATGACAACAATGGGACTGGACGTTGTGGTTTCTGATGGGTTGTTTTGTTCTTGTCGTCTCTGTAACAGGGGGTGGTTCTGGGCTGTTTCTTTGGCCCGGCAGCGCTCTACATCTGGGCTGTCGGGATCCTGGCAGCTGGTCAGAGCTCCACCATGACGGGAACCTACTCCGGCCAGTTTGTGATGGAGGTCAGTGGAGGAACATTTATATATGTACAGTATGCACCACCTGTGGGACGAGCAGTAGAAGTACCAGCCTCTTATCTCTCACATTGGTGTGTTTTCCTGCCTTCAGGGTTTCCTGAACCTGCGCTGGTCGCGTTTCGCCCGGGTCCTGTTGACCCGATCCCTCGCCATCACTCCCACCCTGCTGGTCGCCATCTTCCAGGACATCAACCGCCTGACGGGGATGAACGACTTCCTCAACGTGCTGCAGAGCATGCAGGTCTGACAGCTTCTCAAACACCCACCAGCATCCCTCCACCGTTCTTTATATCATCCTTTACGTCTGTTTGTCTTCTTTTCTTACAAGCTGCAAAACTGAAACACACGAGCAGGTAGGATTTGTTTCAGTGTTGGATCCACTTATAGCCGTGAAGGATCTGATCTTCTTACTTTACAATCACTGGAAGTTGGTTTTTTTTTGCTCTAAAAATGTTCGACATTGTGTTTCATGAGTTTAGCCTCCAGGAAAACAAATAAGTCTGAAGATCAGAGCAAGGCTGGATGTAGGAGTGTATTTTAAGTCCATTAAGTTTTCACAGTGGGGCCTTTATTTTAATATCGTACATCTAAACGGTTTTCATTTGTGGCACAGAGGTGTACTCACAGATAACATTATAAACCCGTCTGTGTGTGTATAATATGGGCTCTTTGAAAGTTAGGGGTAAGATGTCCCGTATTTCTATTATACAGTGCTGCCCGCTTTATCCCATTTATAATCATAAAGCATCAAACATTTCCTGTATAACCTGTTTGTTGTCATACAATAATGTCATATTGAAACTGCGTCTTGGTCCAAACACTTCTCTTCTTGTTTTTCTTCTTGATCTTCCTCAGCTGTGGTTTCTTTGCAGCAGTTTCACTACAGACGTCTGGTTCTCTGAGTCTCCTCCAGCAGACGATGCTGAGACGTGTCTGTGGTCTGAGCTTTGGGAAGCATTGATGTGGGCTTTCATCTGAGCAGCTTCTGCTTGTTGATGTTTTGAGGCTTTAATGAACTTCTTCGGTTCCTTTAGAGCGTTTGACGGTTTTTCAAATGCAGAATCTTTCTTTAGATTTTCTGAAACGACTGACCTTCATGTCTTAACGTAACGAAGGATCGTCACTTTCTCTCAACGCTACCAGATGATTGTCTCATGAAGCTGATTAAAATATTTCCAACATTGTGTGAAGTTGACATGAAGGCAAGCAGCAGCTTCTGTAACACATTTAAAACACTTTGTGGGTTTGTTTATGATTTTTTTCCCCTCGCTGCTTCTACCAACGTGTGTTATTTTTATAGTTTCATGTCTTCAGTTTTATTCTGCAGCGTAGGAAATAAAGAAAACTTTTGATTCCAGGCAAAATTCAAACCCTACATAATACTATTGATCAGCAACCCTTCAAGCGAGTAAAAGAAAACGTCTGAATCTGCATTTATTGAATTGATTTGCTTTGGATTTCACACAGTTTTCAGCGTCGTGAACTCTCCTCACAGTTTGTTCAAAGGTGATAAGTTCAAGGTCTGTGTGGAAAAATCCAACTTTAGCGCCTCCCAGTGGACAAAGCAGAGAAGAAGTGAGGTTTTAATAAACACATTCTCACTTCTCTTCTTCTTCTTCTTGTCGTCTCCCAGCTGCCGTTCGCCCTCATCCCCATCCTCACGTTCACCAGTTTACCGTCTCTCATGAACGAGTTCGCCAACGGGCTGTAAGTTCGCCTCCGATGCAGAAATCGTTCATTGTCGCTGTTTTCTCCTCTAAACACGTTCGTCTGTCTGCAGGGTCTATAAAGTCGGAGGAGGCCTGGTGATCCTGATCGTCTGTGCCATCAACATGTACTTTGTCGTCATCTACGTCACTACACTGAACAGCGTTTGGCTCTACGTGCTGGCGGCGATTCTCTCCATAGCTTACCTGACGTTTGTGGGATACCTGGTAGGTAGCAGCAGCTAAAACTCAACCAAAAACTTGTTCCAGCAACTTAAACGTCAACTACTGAGGCCTTTAACAGCCTGAACTGAACCACAGCTGTGTCAGAACTGCAAATCTCTGCTTTTGTCTTCTATAAAGTTTGTAAATTATATTACAGACAGTTGTTCCTGCAAATATCCCGTCGGCCCGTCGTTCCTCTTGTTTGAAGAAGTTGAGAAAAGTAAAAACCGCCGTCACATATCAGGTGGCGCAAAATCAAACTAAAAGAGGACATTTATGGACAAACGTACACTTTTATTATCTATTCACGTTCTCTGGCACATTTCTTCCAGGGTATTCAATTCAATTCAATTCAATTTTATTTGTATAGCGCATATTTACAACAACAAGTCATCTCATAGCGCTTCACAAAGGCAGAAACAGAAACACCCAACAATCCAAAACATCTGGATGGATGGGTAGAGAACACAAATACAAAAATTCAGAGTTGAGCAGAGATTTTAAAAAGTTTACGTAGTGACTCGATAATCTGACCCTTAACAATCCTAAATCTTGCTATCCGACAGGTTTTTAGGAAAAACCAACAGAACCCATAAAAACAGCCTTAACATAGCGACAGCCTTGGATTCTGACTCCAACATGACATTTAATGTCACCAATCAGGATAACGGCGTATTATCTGACTGAACAATCCCACAGATTGGCTACGTTCACACTGCAGGACTTGATGCTCAATGAGGATTTTTTTGTGACTTCCTTCACGTTTCCAGTTCAATGCGACTTGTATGTGATCTGCTGTGTGAACTTCATACGACCCAAAAGTGTCCCGCATGCGCAGAAGAGGACACGACGACATCACACACAGTGAGCGTGCTCAGTGTTTATGGAAGTAAACATGGATGGTAACGGTGGAGCGTATCTGCCACTCCCCCACCGCCACCGATGGTGGAAACAGAAGTGTGAGCGCTAACTAAACTAGCATCAGCAGCCAAGTACTGCCTGTGTGTTCTGGACACTTCCACCCCGTCAGAGCGCTGCCCCGGGGTGGAAGTGTCCCCCGACCGCACCGAATATATTTGGATATTCATCATTAATTGGGCCTGAATATCCAGAGAGCAGAAAGTTCTATTGGGACCAGAACTATTAGTTATTATAACAACTATGAACAATGAATATTAACAACAAATGAGCCTTCCAGCATCAAGCCCTCCTTGTATCTCGACCTCCGTCTTGACAATCCGACAGCCTTGATATCTGACATAAAAGAAGGTTTTACATTTAGTGTCGGATTATCGAGTCACGACTGTACATATATATATTTATATATGAACTTATAGGATCATTTGCAGTAACAGTGATGTTATGGTTAGAAATCTTTAATGTTCTTCACAGCTTTCCAATAAAACATCCTGTTCAGCTTGACGAAGTCCGTCGTACATTGATGTGCGTAACGGCTTCTCTTATGTGAGCTGGTACAGAGTCTGATGAAGAAAACCCGACAAACGACGGACAGTTTATGATTATTGAGGTTTCAGGTTTTGTCAAGACGTCAATCTAACACAAAGAAAACCAGGTTACATTGAACATGCTTCATCGTGCAGACCTCTGTAGGTCCTGTCAAGCTACTTTAGATGGAATAGAAAGCATCCGTAAACTCTCATCTTCATTTTCTGTGGTCTTGTTTTTTTAGGTTTTTAAATTAAATGTAAGTCTTTATTTTTTCTTCTTAGAGTTAGGACACATCGACGTGTCCTGAAGCCACTCTAGTCTGTTTAAATACTTTCTGAAACAACTTTGGAAATCTGACTTTGCAAAAAAAAACCAAGTTCAGAGTTTGATGCACCACCTTTTAGCTCCATCTGATGAATGTTTGAATCTGTGTGCTGCAGGCCTGGCTGTGTCTGATCGCTCTGGGAGTTTCTTTCTTGGATCCGTCCAGCAGAAGAGGACACGACACGACCATCCTGATCGAGCCGCAGCCAGAGTTCGACTCCTGAACGTGTGTTTTTAACGGACCTTAAAGGTGCAGCAGCATTCACTTTATTTATACTAGAAGCTGTTAACTTTCACGTGAAGCCTTGTGTTTGGATGGTGCTACAGACATTTGTAGTTGTTTTTATTCTAAGCTGACAGACTGACGGATGTGAATGAAGCTTTTACAACGACGATAAAACCGTCTGAAGCCTTTTTGAGGAATAAACACATTTTGAAACTCACACAGTCCTAATAAAGCAGTTTTTGATTTGAAATTACTCCCAAACAACCTTAACCATAACACATCTGAGTATTAAATGTTTTAGTCACGTTTATAGTTTTAACTCGATGTTCGGTGACCTCGAGTTCTGTGAAAGGCGCCTTTAAGTAAAATATATTATTATTATTAGCTCTGACAGTAGCGCTGGTTTTATTTTTACATCCAAATATGAGAAATTTGCCTCAAGGAGCTTCACCGACTGTACAAGATCCACGGTTTGGATTAAAAAAAAAAAAAAAAAGCAAGTCACCTCTGGAAGAGCAGCGAAGGAGGAAGAGAACAGATTTGCACTATAAAGAATTCCAATGTGATGAAATTAGAACCGTAAACATCCTCTTGTCTCTGAAACAGCTCTGAGGTGTCGAGACATAAACTCAGCAAAAGATCCTTGAAGTCCTGGAACCTGCACGGTGGAGCCTCCTCAGGTTCTCCATCAGATTAAGATTCAGGGAAACTTGGAGGCAAACGACGCCTGTGAACTCTTTGTCATGTTCCTCAAACCACTCCTGCACAACGTCTGCAGCATGGCAGGAAGCTTTATCCTCCCGAAAGAGGAAATCAGGGAATACCGTCACCGTGGAGGGATGGATGTTCTCTGGTACGTCTCAGAGTTACATCCACGTGAATGCAAAGCATCACATTGCCTCCGCCGGCGGCCCGCTTGCTTCCCATAGACGGGTCAAATTAGTTTATAAAACACATTTAAAACAAACCAAAGTGCTGTACAGTTAAACGCAGCAACACATTAGACAGAAACACAATGACTGAAAGGTCAATCGGACTGAAAACGTAATAAAATAAAAGCTTCAACTCAGTAAAACTGCTTCCAACACGTGTTGTTCATGTGATGCCTGATATGTTCTACTAGTAGAAAAGTGACAGCGTGATTAATGTCATTCACTTCATCTGTTAGTCGTCTTTAAAGGCTGTGTAGCTCCAGCGCACTGCAGAAGAACTCGGCTCCAGTTTCCAGGAAGTTTGTTTCAAATATGTGAAGCATTCAAACTCAGCGCTGATTCTCCATGTTTGAGTTTTGAGTCCAAGTCCTGAGCGCTCTGGAGGATGTGTTTCACAAACCGACTGTAGTATTTTAAGATAAACCCTTTTTCAATACAGTCTGAGGCCTTTCTGAAGGAATAACTCCCTGCACTGGTTTGCAGCTCCTGTTCCGGCCACAGGGAGGCGCTGCAGGCTGCAGGCAGAGGCTCCTGGGATACAGTAAACATCAGCTTACAACACATTAAAGGACACACTGTGTTACATCATGTGTGTTGTTTCAGGAGCTGCATTACTGTGTGAAACAAGCCGAATATGAAGGATGTGACTGTAGTCTGCGTTCAGACGGACCTCCAGTCTGCAGAGCTGCGAGTGTTGTGCAACCAGAGCCAACGCTTCTGGGTTGTTCAAATTCCAGTTCCTGAAGTGCCTTTTGCAAGTCGAGGAGAGGCGGATGGACAGGTTTTTCTTTGCATTGTGGCGGGGAACTTTTTTTTTTTCCTCCCCTCTCTCTCTCTCTCTCTCTCTCTTGCTCTCTGCCTGTCATGGAGGCCGAGTTATGTAAGAGGGGAGAGTCTTACCACCGCCCCTCTCTGTTTTTGTTTTTCTCAATGAGCCAATGTCTCCCTGCCGAGGCCTCACAGCCTGTCCAGTAGGCCCCTTTCCTGGAAACAGAGCCTAGCAGAGGCCACTCAGGGGCAGGCCCGCGAGCTGCAGGAGGAGGTGGAGGAGGAGGTGGAGGAGGAGGTGGAGGCGGGGGGGGCTCTTCCAGCAAATCACATGATTGTAGACCCTCCAGTCGCAGCCCTACATCAGGCTCAGATGCACATTTCAGCAGCCAGTTTGTCATCAGCATGACTGGATGCAGCTAATGCATGGCAGAGTGCATGAGGCTGTAAGTAGACGCTCCCAGGTGTGAAATGTAGAAGTAGAACCACAAACCTGATGGACAGAGTGAGTGTGTGTGTGAGTGTGTGTGTGTGTGTGTGTGTGTGTGTGTGTGTCACCATTAATGTCAACATATGACTTGATGGATGGTTTTCTGTGGGATTCTGTCACATGTTGATACCTGATCAGTGGAATAGAAAGAGCTGCTTGGCCTCTGTGTCCTTGACGTGTTTTAAATTAGATCACAACGAGCTGATCCAAGCTTTTTTATTTTGTATTTTCGACGTGTATTTGTCCGTCCACATGTTTTAATTAGAGGTTAAAAGTTGCAGACCTTTTTTTTTCTTCTCGTCTCAGCAGAACTCACCGTCCTGTTTTATTGCTGTGGTTCACTACAATCGATCCAAGCTTGTGTTTTGTATCTGAACAATGCATTATTCTGTATATTTGCTGTTATGTTCCAATTAGAGGTGAAAAGATGCAGATGTTTTGGGATCTTGTTCTTGTTTTATTTCTGTTGTTTCCACAGCAAACTGGTTTCAGGTTTTATTTTGTATTTTAACAGCATGTTTGTACCGTTATATTTGCCGTTATGTATTAATTAGTCGCTGATTTATTCCCTTCAGAAGATCTTCTTGTTACAGTAAGAATGGCTGTTTTGTTGTTGTTGTGGCTCCACAGCAAACTGATCCGAGCTTTTATTTTGTATGTTAACAATGCATTTGTACCATGTATTTGCTATTATGTTTTAATTAGAAGATGCTGATTTATTTCCTGCAAAAAGACATCTAATGTTGTATCATCGTGGCTCACCAGAACCGACTGACTTTATGACTTGCAATTATAAAAATAAAATCTTTAAATGCATTGTTGAATTGTAAACAAACGGCTCCTCTGAACAAACACAATAAACCACAACATGGAATTACAAGCGCCGAATGTCACCATTATTAAAATAATCATGTTTGTTTGTTAGTTTCACGTCTTTTTTTTGTGATTTATCTCTTCGTTGACTGACGGATGATGGATGTAGTTTTAATGTTTGAAGTCACGTGTTTTTTTTTTTTTTAGGCAGATTTTCTCGGGGGTACAAAGGCCGAAACCCCCCGAGCCAAACCCTGGGCCTCCTTAACAGCAGCTGACCCCTCTACTCTCGCTTATGTGTCTCCTCAGAGGAATGCGACGCTGCCAGAAGAAGAAGGGGGCACCAGAAAGCAGGCAAAGATAATGAATTTCTACATGATTTAGTAAACAGTGGCTTGAAACCGCATGACATTTTCCAGCTGTGCGGTCCATATACTTACCCTGTATATATTTTTACACCGATCTGTCAGTGCTGCCTTAAAATGTCCGACAGCAGGAATGCAAACAGCGAGGCCATTCTTGTTTATGTCTTGCATTGTGGCCACTGTGGGCAAAAGGCTGAGCTTGTGGACCCACATGTGTTTGGAACGGACTGTGCGCGTAGTTATTCTGTTATTAACAAGTATATTTTTTATGGTTTTTATTCTCTTTTCTTCACTTTATCAGTCACATGGGTGCAGGTTGTGTTGTAGCCTGCATGATTTATATGTGTGCTTGAATACAGCAAACACCTACTGCTGCTTCATTTCACACCTTAGCTGCTAACTGTGCGCTGCAGGGCTACAGGGGAGCACTTAGATTTAACTAAGGAGGCTCTGCAGAACCTCCATGGTGCAAATGTAAATATAAGAGGGAACCACTGGTTAACCAAGGCTGCCTAACATCATGTCGAACCCACTTTTGTTTGTTTGAGCAAATGTGTTTTAGCTGCAGCTGCTCGGAAAATCCGTATATGATTTGTCTGCAGCTTCTGTGCAGCTTATTTGAACTAAAAACAGAATCAACCACAGCTGTTTGTGTAATTTTTATTTCTTTTGTAGGTTAAAAACTAGATTTAGATGCAAACAAACTTTTATTAAATGTTGTGTCTTCATTTTTCTATGATGCAACCGTCATGTAATGTTTATGACCGGCAGCCTGTGCTGAAGCTCAGCAGAGGCTGGTTGTTGCACAAACGTTCTGCGATTGCCATAACGCAGCGGTTCCCAGAGCTGAAGCCTCCCTCATCCTCCACCCAAGCAGCTTTTTCTTTTTTTTTCGTCTCCCCCCCCCCATTTTTTTTTTCATGCAAAACAAGTTACAGATTCATTTTTTACTATTGTGTCAATAAAAGGAAGCAAAACTAGAGAGAAAATGAAAGGAGCCTGGGTCACTGGTTTCAGTCTGCCCTCAGTTACCTCCATACATGAAGCTCTGTTATCTGCGTAACGTCAAAGCTGCCGGCGAAGGCAGCGAGATGAAGAAAAACTGGAAATCTCCTCTTACGTGAAGTATATGTACAGTGTTTTTTAAAGGTATAGGTGTGGATTTCAGGGGGGAGACAGAGGATACGCCCCTTACAATGTGTTGAATATGCTATTAGACTGTAAAAAAAGAACATTTCCACCTTAAACTGATGCAGAAAATGAACAAAACTGTACAGAAAGATTCACCAAAATGCAAAAAAATGAAGTGTTTGATGCTAAAAATGTTGTGGGTGACCACACACAAAGATAAATCTACACACACAACTAAAGTTATTGACAAGTGTAACATTACACAACAGCTATGGTTTATTTAGATTTCTGGAAGGGGATACAGATGACACTTGACCTTCAATGTTAAGAGCATTTGCCCTCCCAGAACAGCACAGGACTTTTATTTTTAAAACAACAACAAATCTTTATGTGTGTCGACTCAGCAGAGATAATAACAAAAGAGAATCAGAAGAACTATCTGTAGGAATATAGAATGACCAAGAGCCTTGCTGCATTTTATGATATTTTTATTACCACCTGATGTCTGAATTTAGTGTTTTTATTCACACAAATGCTCAAAGTGATGCAGAAAAGGCAGAAATCGATGCATAAAAATCCCCAGATTGCAACAGATTAGGTGTTTGCAGAAGCTAGTGAAGAAATGAAAGTGTTTGATGCTCAGAAATGTGTAGGCGGGAACACCAAGAGCCTCCACTTAAAGTTCAAATACAACCTCCTGTGATGTTTAGCCTGTATGTGATCAATAAAGTCACTTCAAGCCATTTGAAGTAGAAATGGAAACACTGGTGGTGCTTGAGGAATGCTCTGCATGGTTGGCTGTTCAAGCCTGTACTTAAATTCTTTGGTTTCGCTACTAATGAGATTAAAATATCGCGATATTACGGGCGAAAGTGAAGGGGAAAAAATGAACAAAATTTGAATTACAAGACAATAAAGGTTATGATGAAGTAATATTTTGCTGGTTGCGGATTATTATTTTAGATTATAATTATAAATATCACCTTTAATAATAACATTAATTACAACGCTACCTCATTTGATAGATTTTTTTAAAAATCACGTGACAAGCAAAAAAACATTTCTAGAAATATAAAAACAAACAAACAACGCGCCTGCGCAGAGGAGACATAAAGCGCGCAGGTTGTCTTCTCGTGTCTCTGGACCGAGCTGCGTTCATTTGCTGTTGTTTATTTATTTTTATTTTTTGCCTCTAAACAATAAAATAAAAAATAATAATTTACAAACAACGTGATCTCGAGCAGCGCTGGAATGTGTTCGGCGCGGCGCGTGCAGGACGGGGAGGAATGCCTTGGCCCCGCCCACCGCCTCCTCGGCGGCCAATCGGAGCGCGGCGACGGTTTCCAGGCGCCCGCGGAGTCCCAGCCGTAGAAAAACAAAACCCCGGAGAGCAACAAAACTCACATTTTACTGCCAACTACCGACCGCAATCCCGTTTTCCGGGCGTAATTCTCCGTTTCCGACCGTCTCTCGGTGTTTTTCGTCGCTCTTTGCCGCCTCCCGGCCGATGTTGTTTATCTGTAGTAAGGGGGGGCTTGAAACCGGCCTCCGTTGCCCCATTTCCTCGGTTGTTTTCCTTCTCTCGCCTGGATTCTCCATGTTGTTGCTGCAAAAGTGAGGACTTCGCAGCGGTCGGGAAGAAAGGGGGGCAGCTCGGACATATTAGCGGCAATAGCGAAGCGGTAACACCACCCGAGAACGGCAAAATAATAGCCTCCGAAAAACACATATCCAAGTGCCTTGCCCCCTCCCCGGGCGGACCTCCGACACCAGAAGAAGAAGAAGAAGAAGAAGAAGAACCAGGAGCGCGGCGAGAGGGAATAAAGAAGCCGCGGAACAAGCTAAATCTCACCGAGGATTGTTGCTTGAAAGGCGGATGACAAGTTAGCTCGGTGAATATCAGAGCCGGAGAGTCCATTAAAGCCAATGAGGGATGCCCATCAGTGCTCGGGGACAGGATTTGAGGATTTTGAGGGCTCCGTGATTGTCAGATGGAAAGTTCTGTTATCACCCAAGTGCAGAAAGAAGACGTTCAAGTGTCACCGAAAACAGGTGAGACTCGGTTTGATTTGAAACACGGCTAAAATCCTCTCTACGTGGGATTGTTTTTGTCGTTAACTGATGAGTGTTGTATTTGTTAAAAACACCCTGTTGTGCGCCCATTTATTTGACAGTTGTGCGCTGCGGACGCGCGGTCACGGAGGCGCATTGCCTTTTTTTTTTTTTTTTTTCCTTCTTCTTCTTCTTCCCTCCTCCAAACAGATCTGTGATATTTAAACCAAATAACTGCTAAATCTTGATTTGTATTATTGTGCTTGTGTGTGAGGAATATTTTTGCCACAAAAGCTGCTGTTTAGTTGTTTTTCCTTCAGATGCGAAACCTAAAAGGCACATAAATTAAAATTATAACTGGTTTTCTGTCAGAATCCAGATGAATGTGTGGCTCCCTGCTTATTCTGCGCTGAGGTGTAAGTTCTCCATTACACACCGCCATCCATCCACAGCTCAGCTTATTGTTGATCCTGTTTTTGTGCCTTTTTTTTGTGCAGTGGTTGCTCTTTACCAATCTGTGTCTTTACATGTGATTATCACTGCTGCTGCTGCTGCTGATTGATCACATCTCAGCTCCTCCAAAAAAAAAAAAGAAAAGAAAAAACGAGCTGTATTTACGTCTATCAGGTTCCAGCTTGTTTGGCACCATCCCATATCCTACTACTACCAGGTACAGCGTGAGCAGCTGCAAGGAAAAAGGGAAAAAAAACGAGCTGCAAACTGCTGCTGATCACATATTTTTTCTTATTTTTTAGTGTCCACAGATCCGTCATCCGCTGCACTGTTTAATTAGACAAACAAACAGATCCGTGTTACATCACGGTGCACATTACAGGCTGGTGTAGGTGTAAAAAAAAAAAAAAAGGGTCTCTGTGGTGGCTGCTGCTGCTGATTATACAGTGTATAGAAACACCAGGTGCCGCGGTATTGACAGCGGAATGCACAAACACACCCCTCTGCACACGCCCATTGTAGCGCCGTTTCAAAGATTTCGCTGTTTGCACACTTTTCCTTGCAGGCTTTGATTATTTTTTGCCCAATATCGTGCACATTAGTGGCTGCATGTCACGTGTGGATAAATTCACATTATCCAAGTGATTGGATTTATCTGTCACTTATTTCAAGATCCTGTTCTTTTGCATGCAGGAGACATCCAGTGCATGTCATTCACAGCCCATCCTGTCCTCCTGCTGGAGATCAATACGCTGATTTAGGCTGCACATAATGTAATGGCTTCCTTCAGATTTTCAGGGGACGTTTATGGAATTGCCAGATCCAGTGTCTCTAACATGTTGTGTAACACGCTTGTTGTCGTCCCTGCGTTGTGTCTTCGGGATCAGCCTTGTAGGTTATAAGAGAGAAAGCCCGGCACACTTTCCACACTGTTTATGATGACACTGAACCGATGAATTATGAATTCAGTATCTACCCGCATGTCCTCACACGAACGAGGACTCGCCAAGAATGTTTCCCTGCCTCTCCAGTGACTGTGGCCCAGGTTTTTTTGGTACCGGGTCTCGGACTTCTCGCGGTCACAGTGTGCTGATCAAAGCCCAGCACAGAGCGCCGAGGTGTGACCGGCTGTCCGGCTCGCTGCCTGACCGGCCGCCTGTCTGGTTGGGTTCTGGCGAGCTTCAGGCAGCCCCTAAAAAGGTCCTGGAGTGTAAAATGGTTGGAATGTTTTCTGTCTGTGTTTTGCTGTCGAAGGTACTGCTGAAAAGTGTGGGTTTTCCCGCCCTCTGTGATTATATAACATGTACCAGCCATTTCCAGCAGCAGCAGCAGCAGCAGCAGCGGCGGCGGCAGAGGCAGCAGGCGCATTAAAAACAGATTTCATGTGCAGGCCGTGCCATCCCTGTAGACAGATGGAAGGGGGAAGCTCACTCTATATGTCACAAGCAGCACCGTAGCTCATGTTTTTCCCATTTCTGTGCGTTTGTAACCAGATTTGTTTTGGCGTGTTGAAGAAAACAGTAGATTACATGAGCATCAGATCCAAGCCTCCACTTGGCAGTTTTCTCATGACAGCCTCTCTCTCTCTCTCTCTCCCTGGAACAGGCCAGGTGAGCCGCTCTGCCCTGAAACAGCCTCGGAGTTGTAACATCTTCAAAGCACTCTTCTGTTGCCTCCAAGCTCAGGATGGCCCCAAACCACCAGCGCCACTGCCGCCACCTTCCCAGCAGGCCTTGCTGGAGTCACAGGAAAATGGGACGGTTGTCAAGGTAACGCCACTCTCATTTTCAGCGATATTTCACACGGCTGAAAACAATTCCTCAAGACCTCGGCTCAGGCCTGCCTTTATTTTTGTTTGTTTAAGATTTGACTTCCTTGTCGCGCCCACGCTCGCCGTGAAGGAGGAGGTGTCTGAATAGTTTTGGCCATCTGTAGGAACAAACTGAACACACTGTTGTAAAAAAAAATGTGCTTAATATTGTCCTCGAGCTTTGTTTTTCTTTACAACTGCGCACTAAAACCACTACTGCACCTGCTAAGAGCATCTTGAAAGCAAACCGCAACTGTCTGCGGATATGGAGCCGCTTTGATGTTCGCACTTGATCCCAGAGGAAGATAAGAACGCCAGAGCGACTGTCAGTCCTTCTGGGCGAGAGCGAGCGGAGGGTCGCGTATTGCGCGGCTGGTAATTGCTGAGGTGGAGGGAAAAAAAATAAAAAATAAAGCTCCGCCGGCCACGCTGGTGAACGCTGTCAGCCTGATTAGGGCCTGGGTGCCATGTTTCGGGGCGTTTTAATGAGATGCCATGTTTGCTCATGTTGAGGAGTGTCCTCGAGCATCAGGAGCAAACAGGAAGCAGCATCTGTAAGGGTCGTCCTGCAGGCTCCCGCCGAAATAAAACCGACACAAGCGTCTACGTTGCATCGACCCAATTGTTTAGCATTTTTTTTCCTCCCTCTCTCTTAATTTGCCTTCTTTAATGGATGAGCTATTCCTGTTATGTAATATATTAATAATTAACTCCACTTTGACAGGACTTGCACAGAAAATGAAATAAAATGAGCCAAAAATGAGATTATATCAAGGGTTACCGTTTGACAGGTCAGGAAACGCACTGAAAACACACTGGAGTTGCACAACACACACAGGCGGCTACAGTAAATAATTAAACTCTGCTCACATATGCCTCCCTAAAGCCGGGTCTAATCTTAATTTCCCAGAGGTGGAATTAAGCGAGCCAGGGTTTGATTTTCATATAAATTACAGCACCTGTGGGGACTAATGGGGCGCGAACGCTGCACACATGACACAAATGTCATAGGCGTGTGTTAAGGAAGTGTCTGTGTTTGTCCCGAGCAGTCGGAACCGAGCCTCCTGCCTGAGATGAAGGCCCAGGACCAAGGGAAGATCTGCGTGGTCATAGACCTGGATGAGACTCTGGTGCACAGTTCATTCAAGGTACTGCCTATATGTCAGTCTTATTTTAATATATGTGTGTGTGTGTGTGGCGCTGCTGCTGCTGCTTGTGATGCTATTTGTGTAAAAACATTTTCCAGTGCAGCAGAAATAGCGAACACAGTTGGGTAACATCCAAGCGAATGCCTACATGTTTACTGAGCTTACATAGGCCGCCACGATTCTATATTTCTTCACCAAAGCATGCCTTTAGCGGCACTTCAAGCGAATTATATTACGTTTGTGTCGGCCGTGATTAACGGCAGCGTCGAGGGGCCTGCTTATGTAATGCCATGTGAATGTACACAGCGTGGCTCGTGAACATTCATGCCAACCGTTCTCCCTCCTGTGTTCTCCCTCCAGCCTATTAGTAATGCAGACTTCATCGTGCCTGTGGAGATAGAGGGGACCACACACCAGGTAAACTACTGTTTGCTGTGGAGGGGAGGTGGGGAGGGTGGGCTCTGTGTTTGTATGTATGTTTGCAGTGGTTGCTGAGCTAAAAAAAAAAAAAAAGGGATGGGTCCTGTAGCCGATCAGGGTTTTTTAAAATACTTGGTGCACGGAGCCCTCTGCTGGCCAGATGTTGAACTCGACTTGGAAGTGGACGCATCAGCAGGAAAATGAGTCATTTCAGCTAAAATGTCATTAATAAGTGATACCATGAAGAAGATGTTAGGAAGAAGAAAAGAAAAAACGCACAAGTAGCGCCGCATTCTCCACCGTTTGTTGGTGTAGAGCGTCCTCTCTTTTTCTATTGGACATGTGGAAATGTAATTAACTTGAGAAATGTGATTCCTGGGACCCCGTGTGCCGGTAAGGAATCCTCTGTGGGGCCTCTGCCTGGTTCAAGTAATCCAGGATAGGCTGGTTAACACTGGCACGGCCTATTCTTGATTACTTGTTTCAGGAACGGGCCACGAGCAGCTAACGGACGAGAAAAAAAAAAAGGACGGTAACGAGAGCGAAGAGATTGAATGAAATGCCGGTTGAACAGCCCCGCGGGTGGATGTGTGCGCTGACGGCTGGTTTGTTTCGCAGGTTTACGTCCTGAAGAGGCCGTACGTGGACGAGTTCCTGCAGAGAATGGGGGAACTGTTTGAATGTGTGCTGTTTACAGCCAGTCTCGCTAAGGTACTTCACATCAGATGTATACCGAAACGGCTCCTGAAATAGAGCCTCATGTTTTATTCAGCGCCGAGTGTCTTTTGTTTGATGACTGATGTAATGTCTGATCTATCAGATGTTGTTCTGCTTTCTCTCGCCTTTTAGTTCCCCCTTTTTTTTTTTTACTGTGAGAGCAGCTGCTGTTAGTCGCCTCAGTAGACGCCCTCCTCACATTTAATTAAAGCCATAGGTCGCTGTCTCCATGGGATCAAACTTGGTGATAATGCAGGATGACCAAGTGGAGATTTAGGATCAAATAAAATGTGTTAAATGTAGTTTTTACTCAACGTTTGCACAAGTTACCAAAGTGAATCTCCTTTAAACTATTAACGTACGCCGTTATGTTTCAGCTTTTAATGCTGCAGTGGCTTCCCTCAGTTTAAGTAAATCACAAGTAATACTTAACTAGTATTCGTTAACCCTCTGAACCCCAAAACCCACGACTGTTGGGTCTAGAAGGCGAGTTATCGTACAGCAAGAAACTGAAAGAGTCATCAGATGTTTAACTTCCCAACTGCACTCAAACTCATCACGTGATTTGGAAAAATTAAGCAAATTTACGCTTGATATTCTGATATTTCATCAAAATTTCTTTATTCTACGTGTCTGATTGAAACATCTGGAACAAATACTGTAAAAAAAAACATTCTGTGCGTCTGTTACAGTCACAGGAAACCGATTCAAACTCTTTTTTTTAGATGAACGTCAGGTTGTGTTTACACAGAGCCGATAAGAGACAAGAGAGAGGAAAGCAAAATAAACCCGATTAATAAAATGAACGTAGCTCCAAAACTGTACACAGAGGAGCAAGTTGTTGGCAAATACTGTCTGGAGCTGATGTGCACACTGCTGTGAAGAATGCCGTTTTATGTAGCTGTTGTATTTAGAGTCACTATTGGTAGAACTTGTGGGCGAATTCAAATTCCAGTTTGACTTTTTTAAGGATTTCTGGCATCACAGTGTTGTCGTAGTGCACAGAAGAGTTTTCTGAGTTCTCCTTCATGGTTGTTCTGTTTCCGTAGAGGTGCAGGATTTTATATTGCAGTGACAAATAAGCCCACAGTGAGTAAAAAAGGGACAGAAGCAACAACAACAACAAAAAGAAGCTGCTTGGAGTTCAGAGGGTTTAGAACAGACGAGTAGGTTTCGTGTCTGTGGTTCTGTTTCTTAGCAGTTTGCTGTAAAACTTGTAGAAAGAGCTTCATCATCCCAACCTTGCTCCTCCTCCTCCTCCTCGCCCCCCTCACCCTCCCTCAGTATGCAGACCCAGTGACGGACCTGCTGGATCAGTGTGGGGTATTCCGGGCCCGGTTGTTCCGGGAATCCTGCGTATTCCACCAGGGCTGCTATGTCAAGGACTTGAGCCGCCTGGGCCGAGACCTCCACAAAACGCTCATCCTGGATAACTCTCCTGCCTCCTACATCTTCCACCCTAATAATGCTGTGAGTGTGCCGGCCTGTCTGTTGTCTGTGATGTTGTAGATCACGATAAAAGTATATATATTAATACCTGACAGCTGCTCTTGGACGTCCACCTGGTGGAGAGTAAGGCAGTAAACGACCACAAACTATAAACCGGTTGGTAGTAGAACAATTTTTCTCCAGACCTGAACCCAGACAAGATAAAGTTGTGAGATTCACTCAAAGTGAAGTAGTCGCTAGAATTACTTCTCAGTAATCTGCTCTGATTTTGATTTGGAACAACACCGTGAAAACGACCTTTTTATAATTATCCTGAACCAACAGCATCACTTTCTAATATGTGTTTTTGTCGTGGTGGGAAACCAAAGAAAGCTCAAAATCCTCACGTTTTACGAGCAGAAACCTGAGAATTATCGGCTTCTTTAATCTGTTTTTTTCTTTTTTAATCATTTGACTGATTCTTTCGGTTCCAATCTTGATTTAGAGGAATCTACACTGGACTCTGTATTAAAATAAATAATAGGAAAATGGCTGCATTTCAGTTCATGCTGAAGTAAAAGTACCAGCATTTAAGCAACTGAATATACTTAAAGTACCAAAAGTAAAAGTACTCAGAATGTAATATGTTAGAAAAATATACATTAATGTGCTTATCCTGTTAATGTAGAAGCTAATAAAGACGATTAAACAACTTGATGTAGTTTATCTGCTTCACATTTCAGTGAAGTTTTAATTTATAATATTACATCATAATGTATTTGTTTAATCTTTTTTGAATAATATTAATAACACCTAAGTTTTGTAAAACACTCCAAGACGCTTTACACAGTAGGTGAGAACACAAAAAATAAATAAAATGGAGAAATTAAGATATAGAAAGAGTAATTATAAGATTATTTTAGGGGTTTTTTGATGATTTTTTTCCAACCTTTTGCTGGATTATTAAACTAAATCTGCAATAAAACTACTGAAAATAATCATTAAATAGAACGGAGTAAAAAGTGCCTCTGATCTGTAGACGGGTGGACGTGTAAAGCAGCAGAAAATGGAAAGAATTAGTGCATAAAGATGATAAATAAGGACGCTACTTTCTACTGCTGCACACGAGACACATTCAGGACTGATTCATTGAGCAACTGCCACTAAAACTTCAGCTTAAATGTGACTTTTTTCAGTTTAAATCCAAGTTGCATGAAGACTTAGCTTTCCGCTCCGAGTTGCCTCCCTGTTGAAATGCTCTGTACTGATAAAGCCGCCTCGCTCCAGGTTCCTGTGGTGTCATGGTTCGACGACGTGGACGACGCCGAGCTGCTCAACCTTCTGCCCGTGTTCGAAGAGCTCAGTCAAGCCGACAACGTCTACACCCGGCTGGACCAGCTGCGTGGACCCTAGGACCTCGACGGAGCTCTTCTTACTACGACGGAACCACGTACGCCGAGAACAGATCCGCCGTTCTCGTCACCTCTGCACAAAACCCTGAGAAAAAGAAAAATTGTATTAGCACGAGGTTAGAGAGAAAAAAACAACCACCGTGTCTTTGGCTCAACTCAAACTACAGATGGCAAACCGAGGCCTCAGTGCTGCCGATGTTCACGACCACTATTTGAAAGCACTACGAGAAAAGAGCGGGAAACGGCAACCAAAGCACTCCCACCACCACCACCACCACAATCGCTGCAGTTAGTCCGAATATTAAAGTGGTTCTTTTGCCAAAGCAGAAGCCTGCCTGCCCTGACTTGACTTTTTTGGACATTGTTTTTTTTTTTTTTTTTTTAATTATTGTGCCTTTTATGGAACAACAGAGAAAAAAAAACAAAAAAACATCAGCTCTTTTTTTAAAAGAAATTTCCACCAGATTTTATACATTTATTGATTTCTTTTTATAGGTTCTTTTTTATAAGGAAATCTATTTTTTAAAAACGGTGAACATGGTTCCTCTATGCAACCCAGTTCTGTGCTTACATGGACAGTACCTCAAAGTTAGCCAGTCAAGAATTGCATTCAGCAGATGTAAACATTACTGTAGCCTTATTTACCTGTAAATGAGCGACAAAGCAAAAGTGTACTTTACGTATTTGTACTTATAAACATAATTTCTACAAAAAAAAAAAAACATGCAATATAAATCACTAGTGGTCAGATTGATTTTTATTGGTAAACGGGGCGACGTCATCTTTGATGGTCCGATGGAAACAGACACACTGGAATATGTTGGCACATAGGACGACCGTAAACGCCACGATTTTCAGTCAAGGTTTTATTAGATCATTTGTTTCTATGTTTTTTTTCTTTTCTTTTATGATGAAATGACATACAACTTGCACTTGTTTTATATTGACAGTGCTGAAAGTAAAAAAAAAAACTGTGCCTTTTGAAATTCGGACAGAGAATGGTGTTCTGCCTGAACAGAGATTTGTAGGCCTACACACTCTGATGTGTCATGCTGAGCGTGAGAAAACACTGTCAAGAGCAAGTGTAATGCCTGTGGCAGTGGTACTTGCAGTGCAACACTTGAAAAATATCACAAATTTGATTTCTTTTTAACATGTGTGAGTGTCGTTTTTCTATATTTATTGGCCAAAAAGACTCTGTAATTGTCCAGTACTTCTAAATGCTCAACATTTTTGTACTTGTAACCCGTTTTGCCTACTTTGAGGCTGGCCTTGTGTTTAACTGTTTTATCTGTGCCTAAATAACACACCTTTTTGCTGTCAAAGTTTGTGGGTGATTCCAAAACGCATAAATCAACAAACAGATTCAATCATGCAAGAAAACACCTTTTTTTAAAAACTCATTTGAAAATTCAGTGCAACAGATATTTTGTGGGGTTTTGTTTCCTTGGTAGTATGTTTTGTTTTTTTCTTTTTTTTCTACGATGTTTAATGTCTGATGCAATTACTGCCTGCATGTTAACTAGTAAAATATGACAATGAAAATGTACCAGTTGTGATGACCAAAAGTATTTGATGAAAGTCACAATTTGTCTTTATGTATGAGAATAAATCATTTTGTCTACCTGATCTGACCAAAACTCTAAAAGACAAGGTGCTACCAATTTTTATTTTCAAATAAAAATTGGTTATATTTTACAGTTTACGTGTGTTTGTATCTCCTGTGACACTAAAGAACACATGCTTAGAGTGTATAGTTACCATAAATTCTCCCATTACTCCCTTAAATCCTCTCATTTTAGTATCTTTATCTCTAAAATCACTTGATGTTCTACTCACAACTCAAACTTTTAGTAAAAGAAAGACCTATTTTTATTTTCAGTACTACTTTCTAAAGAAGTCACTCTAAAGCAATTTCAAAACATTCCCTCGTATCCCACTTTAAATGGTTGTTATCGTTTGGTGTGATGGTGATTTAAAATATAGCTTTAAGATATAAAAAATAGACGTCTAAGTCATTTTACAAAGCCAACAAAAACAGACCTGTTGCTTTGCCATGTGACTAAAAAAATAAAAACATTAGGATTTAACACATTTTTAATAGAAATACCAGAGTTGAATACAACTTCAAAGTTCTTGAACACTTTTATTTTATTATACTTTTTGAAAAATTACTATTTAAAAAGGAGAAACTACATTTTGCTCAACTGGAGCTGAGAAAACCTGAACGTTTTATTTTGTTTTCATTGCTAAAGGTTTATATTAGAACTAATTATTACTATTTCCATCACTCAAACAAAACAATAATTTAAAAAATATATATATATTATTTTTATAATTATATCTCAGATGGGCCTTTGTGTATAATATTTACTTTCACTTTTGTTGCCAATTCTCCTTTAGTTTTGCTTTTACTTAGTGTGGTTTTGCTAGTTTGACTTAATAAAATATCACTCTTTCTTCCTCCCCCTCAGTTTTTATACAAATATAATATAGTACAAAATACTCTAAATCAACTGTACGTGTTGCCTGCAGTTGCGCCAGCGTCACTTTCACGCTCCTCCGTGTGTGTTTGCATCAGCTCATGAAGGCAGCTGATAACAGAAATGGTGCAGCTCCATTTACGAGTCGGCCATTTTAAGTGCACCGGGGACATTACTCGGTGGCACACCCGGAAGTGCGCTTTAATATAAGGTTCCTCGACAGTTTGAGTCTTTGTAAAAAATAAAATAAAATAAAATAAAATAAAAACTCGAGTTGGTGTTTTATTACACAAAAAACTGAAGTCGTGTTTGTTTATTTTACATCGGCAATGTGTGCATTTCCCGTTTTTTCTCGTCGGGTTCTTCTCCGGTAGCTCCGTATCGGGACTACAATCTTCTGGGCGTTTCCATGGTGACATCAGCAGGCTGCCGTGAGCTGACTGACACGTACTGTTTTGTTAAGAGAAATAGAGCAATAAAGCAGGACGGAGAAAGGCCAGTGAAACAACCCGGAGCAGAGAGGTAGGCGAGCGGTCCGTACACGCATAGACACGCCGAGCTAACGCCCGTGTGTCGCCGCAAACGGCGGGGCTGTAACATTTAGCGCCGTTATCGTTTTCAGGAATGACGGAGCCGTCGAGTTGCGCTGGCAGGCGTTAGCTAGCTGCTGGTTATTTAACGCCTACTGGCTAGCAGCGTTAGCTATTAATAAACACAAGTCAGACGCTGTTTCGGTTGTCTGGTGCTCGACTTTCCTGCCTCATTCTTACTCGTTTATTTATCTGTTAATTGTTATTTTTTAAATCAAATATTTCGTTTACAGTTCGATGGATCGATAGCATGCTAGCAGTTAGCGTGTTAGCTTTCTACGCGTGATTGTGCGCTGGTTGTGGTACTCGGAGCTTGACATGTAAAACCCGTTGTGTAACTTGGTGTTGCATACCCTCATCCAGCTGAACTACACGCTGTTAAACTGCGTCATGTGTTTGTACCATTAGTGGTATAAATAGTGGTCAGAATATTAGCTTAAGTTAAAGTAGCGACACCATAATATCGCCAAGAAGAAACACTGTTTAGAATTGAATGTGGTATATATTAGCAGCAAAATAAATTATTAAGCAAACATATTGACGTAAATGGTGGTGAAATTATATTTAAGTAGAATATTTGATTACATCTACCTACTCCTGATCAATAACAAGAAGTGGCAGCCGTGCTACCTGCAGCAGGCTAACAGCTATGGCTTTGTTTATGATCACTAAAGTGGAGTAAAGGACACATTTTCTTTCTTTTTTACATTGTTTTTTTCTGCATTTCTGTTCAGGGGAGACATTACCGGATCGAAAATCTCTTCAGATCTCAGTTCCAGATTTCACCATGAACGTGTTTGACCGCAACATCAACATCGACGCTCTGCTCAAGTTCTCCCAAATGTACGTAAGCATGCAGGACATGTTAGTGCAATGAATGACCGTCTGCTTTCACTCCCGTCTCATGACTTGTTCATTGTTATCTCTTCTGCAGATCTCATTCCACCCAGGTGCACTTGAAGAATGTGTACTCCAGCTTGGCAATGTGCATGTTTGTGGCCGCAGCAGGCTCCTATGTCCATGTCGTCACACGCCTCTTTCAGGTAACAGGAAACAGGAGAGTCTACCTGTTCAGGTTGACCCTTTACATAGATACAAATGGTGGCCGTTTGAAAAGCACAAACACTTGTTCCTACCTGATCCAGACATGTTTTCACTTTCGTTACTTACTGTCTGAAAGTTTTGCTGTAAATAGCCCAGAAAGTCTGTGCATTTTGTGAGATTTAAATTATCTGATTGTCCGCTGAACACATACTTTATAGCTTAGTCACTTCTATCCATGCTTAATGTGACAATACCAGCCTCTGGAAGAAAGTGAGACAGAGATAAAAGCAACCAAAGTGTAGGATTTTCTGCATGTTTGGCTCTTGGTAATCTTGGCACCCCCCTTTGTTGTGTTGGGATTTAGAAGAAGGAACTGAATGTAATATGGGTTAAAGATAAACACTGGTTTCAACATGGTAGCATACTGCAAAAAACACAAAAAAAAATATCTGATTACATTTTTGTTTGAAGTGACAAATGTGTTAAAAAATAGTGAGCATTAAAAAAAAAACAAAAAAAAAAATGGCAAAGCATGTGCATGTGACAAACAACAACATCAGACCAAGTATCCATCGGAGGAGCTTTTATTATGCATTCTCACGTTTATCAGGATTAGGCTGGTGCATTTCAGATAATACTAGTACCACAGGTAAAAGTACACATCTGATAATTAAATCTGAATCACTGTAAGATGTTAATATAAGATTTTTTAAAATCTTCATATGGATTTTATCTGTAGATGGTAGAATTACTGTTTGATATATTAAACCAGCCTTTGTGAGAAACTGTCACAGTTGGAGGAAAGGTGAAAAAGAAAAGTCTACAAACGGGTATTATCTTTAAATGAATGTGTATTTATTGCAGTAACTGAGTGCGTAGTGTCTTTGCCGCAATGCCCATGCCCTATCGTTACCTTGTTCTCAGGGCGGTGTGCTGTCTGTGCTCGGCTCCCTGGGGATGATGTTCTGGCTCGCCATGACACCCCACAACCCCGAGACGGAGAAGAAGAGGCTGGCTATCCTGGCAGGATTTGCCTTCCTCACAGGTACGCTGATGATACCATAGATATGTTTCTGATTTAAATTTGATGCTTTGCATGTGCTGAGAGCTGTGAACAGTTTGGTTATGCAAGAGTTTGAAGCAGTGTTTACTCTGCCTCTGCAGGTGTCGGCCTTGGACCCACACTGGACTTTGTCATCGCTATCAATCCAAGGTAGGTGAAACAGTGCTGTAGCTGTGAGTGAAAGTTAAACATTCAATCTGTGAAACTTTAACACACATTCATCTTAACCTGCAGGTCTTTAAAGCACTAAACAAGATTGTTTGCTTATTAAATAAAGTTGGTTCTGCTTTGTTTCTCTGCAGCATCATTGTGACGGCCTTCATGGGAACCTCTGTGATTTTCATCTGCTTCACTCTGAGCGCCCTCTACGCCAAACGCAGGAGCTACCTGTTCCTTGGAGGTAGAGGGAGTTTAGTATTCTGTAGATTACACCCTTTTTTTTTTCCATAAGAGAAATGCTTTTTCACATAAGCAACGGCAGAAGCTTTAACAGAGTTGTGCAGGAAAAGTGTAGTTAAATGTTGATGTCACTTTTGTTCCTCTCAGGCACACTGATGTCTGGTCTGTCCATCCTGTTCCTGATGTCTCTGATGAACATGTTCTTTGGATCTATGATGCTGTTTAAGGTAATTAAGCAAAGCGGCATCACTCCTCCCTGAAAGTTTTATCAGCTGTATGTCACAATCAGGCCTGGAACAGATGACTGTCTGCTGGGACTCTGCTTCCTGTTGGTGTCGTTTCATTTCACAGAGCTGACTCGCCTCCACCGCTTTGAAATATCTTCACAATGTGGTCCAACAGAGTTACTACTGGGTTAAGACTGGCTGCTCACTTGTGCCAGAATCCTTTTATATATATATTTGTTTAACACATAACATCCATCCTTAATGAATATAGTTTAGCTCCAAGAACAGATGATTGTTTAGCCTACAGTTTTGGTACACAATAGCAGAATTTATTTGGTTGGATTAGTTGATTTCAGTGCATTCTTAGGTGAACAGTATCATTTTAATTCGTTGTAAAACAGTATGATCATGCTAATAGCTCGTAGGCCTGTTCTGTAGTGATTCTCATTTAATAGTTTATTTGTGATAAAAACAATGATGTAGATGAAAAATCGTAGGCAGTCAAATTATGTTGTAGTTACTCCTCTTTATTTATTTTTACACATCCATTAAAAAAAATAAACTAAAGATGAGGCCATGTTACCCTGATCATTTGAAAGTATTTGTCCTCCTCTCGATTCACTGCCTGTGGACTACATTGGGATTCACATGCATTACATTTGACCAGAAACTAGAAAGTTTCTAATTCTCATATTTGTCTGGAGAAAAAAAAAAGTTTTTTAAAAGTACAGATATGAACTAACACCTGCTCTGCTTTTGCTTCTGGACCTCGGTTAAGATTTTGCCTCCGCTGCGTAAATCATGCTTTATTTCATTTTCCTCCGTCTCTGCCAGGCTCACATGTACCTCGGGCTGCTCATCATGTGCGGCTTCGTGCTGTTCGACACTCAGCTCATCATTGAGAAAGCAGAGAACGGAGACAAGGACTACGTCTGGTGAGCAAACTCCACCCAAACCTTTTATCGCCTCATAGCCAAATACGATGCAAATACACGATCCCGTAGTGAGACACACATGTGAGAACACAATGCAAACAAACAGTGTTCCAGAAGTTAAACCTTTAGGTGATGAACTGTTGCAGCCTTTTATTCTACAGACGCTCAGTGACGTGTGGGAAATAAATGTTGTACGTTTTTTTTTTTCAGGCACTGTGTGGACTTGTTCCTTGACTTCATCACCATCTTCAGGAAACTGATGGTCATCCTCGCCATGAATGACAAGGTACCGACATTATTAATATTATTATATAATGTATTAACTAGTGATGCACGATGTTAGAATTTCTGGCCGATACCGATGTTAAGATTTCTGATATCACGATGTCGATATTCAGTTTTTGTTCACACCGAAAAAGGAGTGTAAGTGTGAAAACTATTCAAAAGAAGCCCAATTAGACCACACAGTCTTCTTTATGATGTAACAAAAGTAAAACATGTTTAACGTTAAAGGACCTTTTAAGTAAAAACATCTGTGAAACAGCAGCGATATCAAATGTAGAGACGAAGGCGCTGATGTTAGACAATCATCGACTAAATTTGTTCACCGGACCGATACCGATGTGGTCGCCGAGATATCGTGCATCCCTGCTTTTAACAGTTAAAGGATATCTAGTTATTTTAAACATACTTCTTGGGAAAAGACATGATGCATGGATTTAATAATGTGTAAAACTATGAAGAACATATGAGCTGCTGCACCGGGCGATCCGTTCCTTCTTTACCATTTTATTTTATTTTGATTCAGTCCAACATGCATCGGCCTTCTGCTGTAAAAACATCAACAAAACTACATTAACCTGCAGATGTGAAACACATTTATTAGTTTCTCCTTTTTAAAGATCTTTAGTAAGAACAAAAGTGAGCCACGGATGAGTGAAGTTACAAAGTTTTAGGTAAAAGTAAAGTATAACAAAGGTCCATTTAGTTAGTCGACAGAAACCGTTATGATGACGTCGTTACTGTCTGTCTTCAGCCTTTATCCTTTTCATTTGTTCTGTTTTGCTGCAGATTAAATGGTTAAAACATCCAATTTACCCAAATCACAGGAAAACCAACACATTTTCTCAGTTTGTCGTCATAAATTCAAGCCGTGCAGATTCTTCTTCTTGAGGTTTTTAAATATCTGAGACTTTTGCCACAAGCAGCAGTGAGAGGAATTTAATCTTTGCTGCCCAAATGCTGAGAACTGAAACCAAAGTATTTAAACAACTCAACAGCATCACCAACATTAAACCAAGTTGTTTAGTCCAGGATGATTTCTTCTGTGCTTTGAGTGATTTGATTTGACAGCCCTTTAACTTGCTGTCTAGTTTCAGTTTGACTTTTCACACCACGTTGGTTTCCCTGCTGTTGTTCCTGCAGTTGGGAATCATTTAGTTTTATTTAAACTTGGTTCTGCTGATCAGTTCCAGGATCAGCTGGTAAAGTCACTATGAGTGATGATAGTCTAATGATATAATATACTGTTGTAGAATGTAACGGTCACATTATTGCACATTGTCCTTATTATACTTGTGCACTTTAACTTCAAGTTAAGGAACACTATTGCAATGTGGCGTCTGTAGTTCTGTATGATCAGTTCTTCCATCACTGCGGCCCATCTCCGTCTGTCACGGTAAAAAAACGCTCAGTACAGTCGTGACTCCATAATCTGACCCTTAACAATCCTAAACCTTGCTGGAAAAACCAACAGAACCCATAAAAACAGCCTTAACATACCGACAGCCTTGGATTCTGACTCCAACATGACGTTTAATGTCACCAATCAGGATGACGGCGTATTATCTGACTGAACAATCCCACAGATTGGCTACGTTCACACTGCAGGACTTGATGCTCAATGAGGATTTCTTTGTGACTTCCTTCACATTTCTAATTAAATACGACTTGTATGTGATCTGCTGTGTGAACTTCATACGACCCAAAAGTGTCCCGCATGCGCAGAAGAGGACACGACGACGTCACACGCAGCGAGCGTGCTCAGTGTTTATGGAAGTAAACATGGATGGTAACGGTGGAGCGTATCTGCCACTCCCCCGCCGCCACTGATGGTGGAAACAGAAGTGTGAGCGCTAACTAAACTAGCATCAGCAGCCAAGTACTGCCTGTGTGTTCTGGACACTTCCACCCCGTCAGAGCGCTGCCCCGGGGTGGAAGTGTCCCCCGATGTCCACTGATGGGCCCGTGCACAATCACACCGGTCAATTAGGAGTGACATCCAGCGATGCGTAGAGTTCTAACAACACACTAGTTATTATAACAACTATAAACAGTAAATATTAACTAATGAGCCTTCCAGCATCAAGCCCTCCTTGTATCTTGACCTCCGTCTTGACAATCTGACATAAAAGAAGGTTTTACATTTAGATTATCGAGTCACGTCTACTAAACTGAGTTCTTGTAACGAATGCTGTGGTTTGTGTGATGACACTAATTGTTTGTCTCCTTTTCTTTCAGGAAAAGAAGAAGGAAAAGAAGTAAAGAACATTCGAACAGCAGGAAAATAAAAAAACAACAACAATCAGTCGGAAAAAGGCACAATTTGCAACGCACTTGGTGCTTTTCACTTTGTCTTCATTTCTCAAATTAACTCCTATGTGGTCTTATATTATTGGAATTTTCTTTGATTTATTTTCTGGAACTTACAGCGAGGGTTGAATGTAAGTTTATGGTGCAGTAATGCTAGTCCCATGTTTGGCTGTGAATGGAGAAATACTAACGCTGCAGTGATCGTGCTTGGCCTGTAGAGGGCAGCGTCGCCCTGCGAAGGCTCCCAGACGCTGAGCTAATGAAGACTTTCATATTACTGTTATTTAGTGCCATAAATTAACGACATGATAGGCTCCTTTTAGTGGGTCACGTGAGCTTCTGAAACTGATTACTGTTTTATTTTATGTAATTTACTTTTGTTGATTTGCTTATTTATAGTTTTCCTCAGTTCTCTTAGTGGAGTGTCACACGATGCAGCGTCCCATGATTTTGACAACAGATTCCCCCATTTTCATATTATTTCCCTCTTAGTAGTTTTGTTCCCACAAATTGAAGTGAAGCCTGTCGATGATCTACTGAAATCACTCAGACGGACTCTCAGCCACTCGGCGGTCTGGATTTTGGACCGTTGGAAGAGTCGCTGCCATCTGTCCCTTTCCTTCAAATTTGGATAGCAAAGACAGGCTCGTGATTGGAGACCACTCCCCGTGTAAATTTACCCAAATATCTGTTGTCTAGAAATTAGTTTGCCAAATGATATGATATTAACCTGGATATTTGGCATCAGTGCTATTTTTTTTTTCAAAGTGTATACTGTGAAGAATTTATTTTATTGATGTAAAACTGAGACTAATAATTTGATACATTTGCTCAAATAAATGTGTTGAACGTATAGAAGCAAAGTGGATGTGGTTTTATTCTCTGTGTGTTCACGTTAATGGGAACTTCACCCTCTGAACCGTTTTATTCTCATGTACAGGCCACTCAGAAAACACCGTCATTACTACCACTTCCCATGTTGTAATGTGTTGATTTAATTAGGGTCCGAGCACTAACGGTGCAAGGCCTTTGTGCCTTTATTGGATCGTGTTAGTGAGAGAGAGACAGGAAAGTAGGGAAAAGAATGGGAGAAGGCCCTATAGGGAAAGGGTCATGAGCGGGATTTGAACTCATGACCTCCACATTGGGACTGTAGCCCTACACATAGGACACCAGCTCAACCAGGTGA